CTTGAATTGGTTCCACTTTTAGAATGCAGTGAAGCAACTGTTTTTTAGAAAAAAAGCATATTCGTATACCTCATTTCTGTGCAACTTCCTCTGGCTAACCCGTATTTTTTTGCTTCTGCAAATTACCTCCCCTTGTCCAGTACAACCCTGACATTTCCATTTGGAATAATTTCTCTTTGGCAGGACCTCCATGGTCCCTTCTTGCCTTTCTATTTCAGCAATGCTTTAAGTCTCCATCAAATCGGGCAGCTGCTGTTGAATGCAAATACTTAAAACTGAGATTTAAGCAGACTGCCGCATCCAGGTTGACTCTGGAAGTACAATTCGCAAGGTGTGAAGGAATTCAGGAGAAAGTAGTGGTGTAGATTAGAGGAAGTGAGAGCGAGATAAGACGTTTCGGTCCATTAAGTTATATACGTCTTAACACTGCGACTGGACCTCGTCAGTATGACGACGGTCACAGTGCATAGGGAGAAAAAAAGAAGAAAAAAGAAAGAAGGAGGAAGTGAAAGAAGATGGAAGCCGAAGGCGAGGACAAACAGAGATTGCGACATTATAAAGTAGGTGGAGAGAGGTGGGAAAAGGATGGTTAAGACTGGAGTTAAGCCTGAAACCGCTGTTAATTTGCAGTCTGGTCGCTCTCTGGGCATCTAGCAACTTTCGCATTACTGAGGTTTTTTGCTCACTGCATTAACATCACTCTGTACTCCTGAATGATAGATGGGTCCAGTTTCCTCTTGTTTTTATTGCTGAAGTTCAACTTCACTCATTAAAATTCGTGTTTCTCTGTAGTTTTGCGATTTCAGCTGCAGTTTAGTGGTTTTCTGCCTTTTCACGTGTTTCATTTTTTCCTGTTTGTCTGCGCATATGAGTATTCTTGCTGTGAAGCATATTTTGATCCCTTATTAATACCGGATAATTGTTTCTTCAAGCCCGTTACTATTTTCACTATTTGTTTTACTTCATTTCAGCGTGATAATATATACGGTGATCGGCATTTGATCAGTGAAGTGCCGGCGCTTCAGCTGCTCAGTAAAATGGAGGAAAATATTGGCTTGACATTCAAACACATTCGAGTTCTTGCCAAAGCATTCACGCGAAGAAATGTCGGATTTAATAATCTTACTTAGTGAGTTTTCTTTTTTTTTTATCCACGATATTTCGGAAATCAAAACTCCTCTCTATTTTCATTCTTTGCGGAAAACGAAAGCATGCGGAATTCGTCCAAACAGTAATAAGTTTCTGCAACGACCATTTGCCTGTTGGGGCTGTCGATGGCTTCCTCTTTCAAAAGCTTTTTCGAAGAGGACGAAGAGGGAGGAAGGGAGAGGATGGGTTAGACTTCCCAGCATACTAAATTGTCTGCGTCACAGTGAATTGACGATTCGTGGAGAATCTGCCCCCTCAGCGAGCCGAATCTTTGAAATTATGCGTGAAACCAGCTCTGCTTGATGCTCTGGCCATGCATCGTACGTAAAATTCAGAAATCGGTTTAAAATCGTGGAATTTTTAAAAACTTTATGTTCTGTATGTTTATGTTGGTTTTTACTTTTACTGTTGCATTTTAGTGGGCACAATCAGCGTCTGGAATTTCTCGGTGATACGGTGCTGCAGTTGATTACGACGGATTATCTCTACAAGCATTTTCCGTATCATCACGAAGGTCACCTATCAATATTACGCACTTGTTTAGTTAGCAATCGAGTAAGTTTAATATTTTCAACCTTCAGTATTGCCCCCTCCCCAGTTTTGTGATTTGTAAGCTCTTTTTTTAGTGCAGTATTTCATTAGTTTTGTGTCCTGTATATTTTGAATTTCTATTCAATGCATTATTGCTGTAGTTGCAAAATTACAGACGAGAAATGGAGAATTAGGAGTGTAATGAAGTGTAGGAACTGCTGGAAGGAAGGAGAGGGAAAGATCGTGAAGCTAAGTTCATATAGAACGGAATCCCGGATATCATGGATTTATGCATTCTGCACTGGCACACTGCAAGTGACCAGCTTTCATGCGGGTCACTTCGGGATTCTCTGCCCATTACAGGGTGAATGTCAAAAGGGCTTTGACTTTGTTTTGAACAAAAAAAAAATGCGTTTATACCTATTTTATAACTAATAAGGATATAGGCGGAACCAGCACCGCTTCCTGGAGGAGGGGAGGGGGGCGACTTTGCCAGCTTTTCTCCTCCCCCCCCCCCTTTCTCCCAGTCGTTGCTATGTCAGACGCTCCCCCACCCCTCTCCTCTCGCCGGTCAGCCTTAAATTGTGCCGACGACTACGGGGAGGGAGGTGGGCGGGCGGGTGGGGAGGAAAGAACAGAGAAGGATATAAAAAATGGCAACGCACACCAGACTAGCTGGTGCGATCATGCGTTTTGTGCAATTCAGCCCATCGAACGATTGCCTGTTAAT